CACGCATGCATGCATACACACTGGCCCTCACTCACACACACACACACTCACACATGCATGCATACACACCCACACTGCATACCTGCATGCATGCAGGCACACTGGCACCCACCCACCCATGAACATGCATGCACATATCCACACTCACCCACCAGCCCCACACATGCACACACACACATTCACACACACACCTACGTGCATGCAGGGACATTCACACCACCCACCCATGAACACACATGCACACACCCATGCATGCACACATGCTGCTCCCCTGCCCCCCACACACCCACATACAGGCACACCTATGCACCCACTGTCCTATTGAGCACCCTCATGGCGTGTTGGGATCTGATGAAGAACAGGAGCTGCCTGGTGTCTGCCTTTGTGTCAATCACAGCCTGAGGGGAACAGGAGTGTAATGGAGTTCACAGACTCCAGCTGGTTCAATGGTGCTGGGAGGCGGTGTCAGGGAGGGCTCCCCCGAGGCATGGCCTAGCCTTGACTTCACGGTGACATCATTAGGGCGAGACTCAGCCCCAGCTCCTTGTCTGAGGTCAGCCCCGTCTCCAACCACCCTCCCCGTTTTTTCTCGTGGGGACTCCTATACACCTGCAGGGTTGGCCTCGGGGGGCATGCAGGTGACTGTGGCCCTCTCAGGTGGGGCTTCCGCTGCTCCCAGTGGCCAGGAGTCCTTGCTGTTTGACCTGGTTCTGTTCCCCACAGATTGACCGACTCATCAGTCATGGGGCTGACATCCTGAAGCCTGTGACACTCAGGCAGGGGGAGAAGGTGGCAGTGGGTACAGCCGTGGACTATGGCTACTTCAAATTCTTCCAGGTAGGTGGTGAGCCCCCCACGATGAAGAAGGGGGAGGGTGGGTCGCGTGGGGGCCCCTGGCTGGGGCGTTACCTTGTCTGGGGCAAGCTGGGCTTCAATTTCCTAGTGCCTCCCCGAGAGCAGCCCCTTGGCCGCAGAGGCAAAACCCCCATGTGCTGAGCTCATGCCGGGTGCAGCTGTGTGTGCTCCCAGCTGTGTGTGTCTGTCTGGGTTCGTCCTCAGTAACACATCACAACAGCCGAGAGGGGCTCTTGATCACCCAGAGTCACCCCCACAGCAGGGTGGGCCCGGGACCCTATGGTGACCCTGGTGCCATGCTGCAGGACCGGAAGATTGCCCACTCCCCCTTCCACACACTGATGCCGGCGGAGCGTGAGACGTTCGTGGCACGGAAGCGGCTCCTGGAGTACATGGGCTTGCAGCTGAGGCAGGCGGTCTTTGCCAAGGAGAGCCAGTGGGACCCCACGTGGCTGTACCTGTGCAAGAGAGGTGGGCAGTGGGCCCTGCTCTGCTCCGTTCTGCAGGGTGGGGTTCCGGCCTTGTGCCTGGGGCTGTGATCCTGGGAGATCTGGACCCCTCGGGCTCTGCAGGGGCCGGGCTCCGACCCCCAAGCAGCTCGGGCAGGAGAGATGAGAAGAGGTGTCTGGACTGGGGAGAGGTCCCTGGGAAGGGGAGTTGGTGGCCTAGGCCCAGGGCCCAGGAGAGGACCAGGCACTGCTGTGGGAGCCCTGTCAGAAGCGCCAACCCATCCAGCACAGGGAACCAGGGGCCGAGGCCTGGGGGTGGAGCTCCTTTGCATGGTCACATGCCTACAGGGGCATCCTGCACACCCCACGTATCCCCAGCTCCCCACATGCAGCCACCCCACACAGGCACCATCCGCCTACTGACGTCCACTCCCCCATGTACCCACAGCCACGTACCCAACCCCACCCGCAAACCCCC